TTTAGGCGTGAATGGTTCACAGACTGACTGAGAAACGGACGTTTTGCCGTCAATTGGTTTTTCGGCATGAAGGACCCACAAAACAGGGATTCTCGCTATATCACTTATTAGAGAATTTTTTCTTAATTTAGCATTTTGTTTCTTAGAATAGCTTGATATATTCAATTGTTCGTTATCAAGGCCCAGCAATGACTTTTTTTCTGCCGAAAACCAGCCGTTTTTTCGCGCAGCATTACATAATTTTCACTTTACTACGTATATACGTATGAATACGGGAAAGCAAAAACAGACTCTCATTACACTCACTCATTTACTGCTCTAAGGATTCGCCTCATATAACCTACATAATTGTTGAAAGTCTGTAATTATGAACTGTAGTATAAGAAACTTGAAGAGCAGCTGTACGCAAAACGCCAGCGTTGCCATGCTTCAATGACGTCCTTCCCTTTTTATTGAGTCACATGTGGAGAGCGCGTGCTGATTGTTGTTTCTAAAGCGAGAGCCGCTCTGTTTTACTCTCCATTAGTCGCGATTCGTTTCGCTGTTTACAAACAGGTTTCATGAACAGCAATTGAAAGTGTAGTTGAAATTCAAACAATGGATATGTAATTAACTTTTAAATGCTTTTGAACTATTTTATCTTTGCAGGGAAAAAACAAATGTAATTACAACCATCACCGGAAATTTCTGATAAAGACTCACCAAGATATTTCAAGAAAGAGATAATTACTTGATACGATATTGTATTGTATTGTTTGATAATTGTATTACAGCTAAATACCTATTACAATATTCATTACCTATACATTAATAGCATAAGTTGAATCACTTTTCCTTACTATATTTTAACTATAGCTTTTTATTATACTATATTTTAAGGTTTATATTAGCTTGATAGGAATTACAAATTTGTTTTATGCCATTAATACCTTAACAAGAGCTACTCTTAGAAAAATTGAAGAGAACTAATCTCATATTTTACTTATAGAAATAGCAGAATCTATGTTTAGTATACTTTAGTGAAGTATATTGTGACTATATTTGTGTATTTTCTGGAATATGCATTAATCTGATATGCAAATATCTAATCTAATTTTAAATATTCTTGAATATAAAAGTAAACATTAAATTATTAATTTGCTTAACAGTATTTTGCATCAGAACTTCTCTTACATTCTTATTCCCTTTAAAATGAGCATTCATCTGATGTACAACTTACAGAATTATAACTCACACTCTTCTAGGATATGCTTAAGTGATTCAACCTTATCTACATTAAAAACTGTGTATTATTTGGATGTATCAATTTTATATCAAATACTTTTCGACTTGTGTGTCTCTCGTCCCATCATTCTTAGTTTCGCCGAAATACCCCGAAGAGGCATATCAAGACACAAGAATTCTTCTCCTTTTTGTAACTCTAAATCATTGATATATCTGTAAATCTGACTGCATTCCACATTGTGCTCGTCTTCAATGAAATTTGATCTTTAAATTTCTCTGAGTATTTGCTGTTCCGCTTCTTCGATTTGAGAAATATCTTGATTTTGCCATAATGTTCAACCCCATTTTTTTTAAGGCATGCCCTTCAACTCAGTTACCTATTTGTATTTGGCAGAATTGTAAGTGTTAGCATCGAATTTAATACTATTATCATATCCAACTCAAGTAGTTGTTTGAGACCATGTTTAGAATGCGTAACCATAGTCTTAAACATTCCCTTAACAATTTCTGTTTCTATTCGTAAATTACCTGTTTCTAATCATGTAATCGGGGGTGGATATTGGCAAAAATAGTAACATTGTATAAAAGCCATTTTGCACAGATTCTAGTTCTTCTCTGTGTTTATAGCCCCAGACACCTGCGCCATACTTTAGTGTTGATGTTACAATTGCGTTAAATAACTTTACTCTGGCTACCCATGAATTTGTTTTGGATCCTAACTTAACTTTCCGTATTTAATCCATCGCTGTCCTCGCCATCGAAACTGCTGCTCTTGCTTTTACATTGTACAGTCCCGATGAAACGAATGTGACATCCAAGTATATATATTTGTTGATCACAATTGTTTGCCCTCGGAATATTACTGAACCTTGCTGTTTCAGTCAACCACTCTTTCAAAAGACCATCAGCTTGGTTTTCGATGAGTTAACCTCCATATTATTCATGTAGCAGTAGTTCGATAGTGTATCTAACTTATGTTTCATATCTATTATGTCACTAACTAAAATAGCAAAAAGTAATATGTCAGTTTTCTGGCAATGTCTTGATTGATGTCACATTTCATCAAAAAAATCAATGATGTCGTGCATCGTAAGGATGAATAGAGATGGACACGAGTCTCCTTGCAGAATTCCTTGGGTGACATCAGTTTATTCTGATTTACTATCTGCAGTTTTGATTTTAGTTGTTGCATGCTGATATATACATCTGACGACTTCAATTATTTTGACACTCACTCCCGCTTAGTATAGCTTCCTCAAAAGGGTTGTATGCACCACCGAGCCGAAGCCCCTTTTAAAATCAATGAATGCTGCGAAAAGTTTTCCAATTTGGTACGGCATTGATTTCGCTATTCTGGCTCCCAATACAAATAAATTATCTTCATAAGACCTATTTCTGCGAAATACTAGTCGTAATTTACTGTATTGGCAGAATTAGCCAATGCAAACTGATATAAAGCTTGGACTAAAACTCGTTGATAAATCAGTGTTGGTTACTTGTCGCATTGTGTTAATGCAGACCTCCAGTAATAATCTGAATATATTTTTTTTAAACGATCAACTAAAACACACGCACACACACTCACGCACAAATTGAGAAGCGATTTCTCTGTCATTCAATGAAATCGTGCCACTACAAGGTACAAAGAATAGCGATTAATCATTTCAATCACAGAAAATTAGGGAGAAAAGGTATTCTCTCATAATTTGTCAAAGAGCCTCTGGGTTTCTTAATTAATTGATAATACACCCATTCGAAGAATAAGCAGGTACGTCATGTACAAAAAATAAAAGTTGTGCAAAAATAAGGGAAAGGCATAACCACACCAAACCTATTAGGGCGCGAAATCTGTTTATTTTCCTCAGTGTAGAAGAAAGTTGTTGACATCTATCACCATTTTGATTTTGTTGCGGATTTTTTCTCACAATGCTACACACATCGTGTAATTCTACTTTAATAATGAGAACCTCATTGCATACGTAATGAGAATCATTCGGTGCGTTCAATCTACATTATTAGAAAAACAATATTCAGTTGTTAGCACTGGGAACATTGTGAAAACGATAAAATAAACTATTTGTACAAAAAATTGAAGTATCTTTATATAATAATCGGGTAATCATCCGACCGACCCTCTCGGTTATGCCTCATTCACAATGGAGACTTACACGTAAACATAACGTAGCCGCAAAACCTAGAAATGAGTTATTAAGAGAGACCATTCACAATGCCTTGACGTAACCGTTGACGTGAATCCGTAAACTTAAAACAGTTGACAAGCATCAAGCTTTTTGTCGGAATTCTACCGAACCAATTAGAGAATTATGAAAGAAGCAAACATGGTGGATTTCAAATTGTGTTCAGGTGGATATGTCATTTCATTACTGTTATGTTCTGAACTAGTTTGCGAACTGTTTTGTTGCGAGTAGTGAATTCAAAGTAAGAATTTGACCATTTTTCATGTGACTCACTTGACGTGGGGAATAAAATGATTAATAATTCAACGAGTTACTTGTGAATAGGGTACAAGAGAATCCTTGTTTATAAAATAAAGGAAATGCGAACACTAAAACAACAGCTAATCACATTTATATATAAAGACAACTCGATAGGCAAATCGAAGAAAAATCTAGAAACCGTGGTGAAAAGATCTTTCCATCATGCTACAAACGAATCGACCAAGCTTCAATACGTTAAAATCCGATTGGTTCAGGCAAAATTTACTTTCGTCATTGTGAATGCTTATTTTTGCGTGTAAATTTTACTGCTAAGTTTATGGGATTACATTCTGTTTTTATTGTGCATGGGGCCTTAAACTTCTTCTGGTCGATCGACCAATCGAAACAAAGGAAATGTCATTCGCCGTATCTCAGTCTCCGATGAGGAAATAATCATTTTTTTAGTATAACAGAACTTTCTCTATTCTCCTACTGCGGGTCTACTTCTTCTATACTAATATTCGAAAAAGTAAAATTTATAAAGTATGGCTTTCTTCTCGACTGCCATTTGATTAATGTGACACTAGACAAGAATGAAACTTAAAATTTACAAATGTTGACATTTATTACAAACTAGTAACCTGCAACAAAAAAGATTCTGAGCAAGTTCACTCAAATTGGTTTCCCAAAAATTAGCTCGCACGCTTCACAAGAACAAGAAAGAAAATGCTGCAGTGCAGCACTGAAATAAATATTTTAACATAAACCGTGTTCAGGAATACTGCAATAACGTAGCACAGTTCGTGAACCATAAAACAGTTCTTTATCTACTACGAATATCAAAAGTAGTGCTGCTACTGCCGTAATGCAATATGTGAATATCAAATATTTAATAGCGAACACTTCTTCCGTGGAACCTTGCTGTCGCATGACGTAAGAGTTGATGCATAAGAATGCAGTTAGTATAGGTAGAATGAGAGTAGATGGAATAACACAATCACATATTTGAATTTTTCAGTCAAAATCGAATCTCATTGTTTTTGGAGTTCCTGGAGTTCTAGCAACAGCATAGACACCCCTCACATAATGGTCGGAAGATGTATCGTTTTCTTTTGAATTACGAGCATTGGAAGTTAATAATTTACGAGTAGATACTAACGCAGGACAACTAAATATATTGGGTATACAGTTCGATGAAAAAATGTAAAACCTTTGAAGGTTTATTTTAATTTAAAATATTTTACTGTATATATTTGTAATGTATAAATGAACTGCAGAAGCGTCAATTACTCGTTTTCGAAGGCAGTAAGACCGATTTGTGGCTTGTGTTTGTCGCAGGCGACGGTGAGCGACTGCGACCTGCTGCAAGACGCCTTCAAGCGCTACCACCGCGTGCTGCAGCAGGCGGTGCGCAAGTCGCGTGCGCACGCGCGCGCGCGGCCCCGCGCCTCCGACGCCGCCGGCGCCGCCGCCGACGGCCCCGACGCCAACAGCGCCGACGCGCTCGCCGCGCACGCCTACAAGCCCTGGCGCAAGGACCGGCGCTTCCGGGGCTACCTCGACACGCTCGAGGTGCAGCTGCTGGCGCCCTGCCAGAAGATGCCCTACCTCGGCATGGACGAGCGCTGTGAGTGTTCAGACAACAGCCTTTGCCGCCGCCGCCTTTGATTCATTAGCGATCACGCGCGCGTCAACTGCCAGGGTCATTTGTCTCCTAAGTGTAGTGTATGCTTTTATCGCGGTGATCTTACCCCACTGGATGGCGAGATCCGGTGCAGACCTACATGTCGACTCGCAGTTTTCTCCGCACCGCACCATTGGTAGCATACGATTCAAGCCTTGCGGCTGGTATCCCAACAAGTGTGGTAGTCTTGTGCATGTAAATGTAAGAGTACGTAAGTGGGGAGGACAGAACGAGGAAGTGCAAGGAAAGGTCGTGGGCGGCCCGTGGCCCGTTTATAAGGGTAGCGCTCCGGCTTTCGCTTGGTGTTGACCGGAGAAACCACGGAAATGAACCGATCAGAGCAGCCGGCCGCCAGAATTCTCTTCCAGGCAGCGGTGGAAATCGACATAGCTGTGTAGCTAGTGTCAAAAATCCTTCCAGCGCCGGGACTCGAACACTAGGTTTACCCAGTCAGAGGCACTGCAGTGTGCTTTCTTGAACGACTACGTAATATCATTATATTCAGCCGTCTACCCTATTAACACTTTAATCGTCATCATCATAACCATCATTAGTGAACGACAAACGATATAATTAACAATTACTTAAAACTGCTAATATTTTGAAATAATTATATATAACTTTAATTAAAGACCTGATTTTGACGATTTCATTAACAAAACGTTTGTCTTTAATAAAGGGGTTGTGGGAGGAATTCCCAACTTTTGACTTTTTTGAAAATTCTGATAATTCAATGAAAATCGGACCTGCGACATTTCCGACATATCCGTATATTCATAAACATAATATTTCAATACTACGTAACTATTCCCAATAATGCGAAAAAGTATGTGTTGTTAAGCGCCTCTAGCTAACACTGCATTCAATATTCCAGAATTAGTACGATCCATAATCCTAAAACTACATCATTACTGTAAAGTCAACCTAGGAAGGGATACAATAGCAACAAGGCCTCACAGACAATTTAGAAAATTCATCTTCCATCATGTTTAAAATGCAAAACGTTATATGAAAGTATTTGTTGAAAAATCGCGTTAAGTTTAATCATCAGGAAGAAACGACAAATTATGTCATTTCGAATTTTTAATTCGCTCTTTACGACGGATTGCCTATACCAGGTAGTCAGCAGGCGGCAACATAACAAAATCACTATTACCCGTCGACCCTGCTCCAAAAGAGACAAAGCATTAAAAATAGTTGTTATTCAACTTATTAATACAAATTCCACACTCAGTATTGAAACGGAATTTTCAAATATGTTTGTAGTTCATGACCTTCTTTAATGTAGACACGTCCAATAGAGTGAAGCAGCTTTTGCAAATCTCCATCCACTATAAATTACTCAACATACAACTTCTTCGGCAAAGATTAAACACTCTGCGGTTCATAAAATACGATAATATTCAAAAATAATTATCTGTAGACTCGTTACAAGCATGGATCAATAAATAGATAGCTAGGTTAGTGGACAATTAGTAGTGTTTACGCGAGCGTCACAAATACTACGAGAAAGTCCGCAGTAAGTTGTAGCACCACTGTTTGTACAATTTCCGATAAAGCTCATTTTACTGAAAGTGAATGATGCTTTTGTATTTAATTCTATCCATGAACTCTCATAATTTTGATGAAATAAACGAAAAACACAATAGCTACAGTAAAACCTGATTGAAATCGAGTTGCTATGAATTTCAATTATAATTGATTTCTTACGGTAGAATCTGAATTGTTTTGATGTAAATGCTACTTCTCCTCACCTTCCTTCACGCTCTCCTCTCGCAAGTATAATCACACCACGTAGACATATTACCTATAGTTCGTGTGCGAAACCTCAGAAAACCTCCTTTGCTCTGAAATTTGTAAGGCCTCTCTGAAGCTTCTGTAAGCTCCATAGTCTGCAAACTTCCCTACCGCCAAGCCTGGGACCGGGAAAAGATCCAGCAGACAAAAGTTCACAAAATCGCTAATGTGAAAATTTCGAGGCGAAGGTAGATGTTCAAGTAGCGCAAGTTAACTTTCTCCAACGCATACGTATGAGAGAAAACAGCTTAAAAATAACGTGACAACAGCACTAACGTTCTCTTATTATTGTTCAGCGTCACGTAATATTACGTTACTGGTTAAATTAGTGCGAACATTCTACAGTTTGTGAATAATTTTTTTTAGAAGTTAAAATAGCTGCAAAATTGAATACAACTTTGAGCCCCAACCCCTGAACTTTTGCGTTAATTATTGGTGTACTTCATCGTAATAGTGATAATCGTTGATATTAAAGTGCACGGAATATCAAATTGTCAATTTAATTTTACATCGATTTCGAGTGGCTGCTCATATTTGATTACCCACGTCACGGAGTAGAGGAAAGAAGAAGAGATAAATATTCAGAGGTATAATAGAAGGTTCAAAAACGTTTCATTTTGTTGAATACGGATTAAGAAACAACTTGGGCCTTACCAGCCCCCTATACCTATACTGCACGTTCCCAACATGCCAACTTGAAATTGATAAATTTATTTTAAATTGTTTTTCGTTTTACGAAATCTATATTACAAATTTCTAATATGCGAATAAACTGAAAAATGTCCTCCGACCTTCTAAGAGGTGACAATGATTTTGTTAGATACCAAAAATCAACGGGAAAAACACAAAAGCAATGAGTTGCCATTTTAATTGAAAAATTCCAATATTTGATTGTATTATTCCACCTTTTCTCATACACACGACACTATCTACGATACAGCTGACGTCATGTGACAGGAAGACTGCAAGGGAGAGGCTGCCCTCAATTAAATATTGTATAAAATAAATATAAATTTCTTATAAAAAAACTATTTCTATAAATTACCTATTTGCTATTTCTATATATCTATAGAAATAGGTAATATGTATATATCTTTCTAAAGATTTCGAATCATTTTAATACATATGTACGTCTAGACGGAACATTTAAGACGAATGTTTGCTATATGTTACGGAATAATTTTCTTATAAAGCAAAATAATGCTACTACGCTTCTTTGCCACGAATTGTCACACTTAACCTCCTCCCCTACTTCCTGGAAACTGCGTAGGCCTACACGGAGTCAAGAATGAGCGGATGTTGGTGAAACGGATATAATTTCAAATACGTAGTCGCTCAAACAGCACATTCGTGACTCGATCAAACACTAGCACATACTTTTTTACACATCATTGTATTAACGCGTTGTTGGGTTTTGTGTGTGTGTGTGTGTGTGTGAGTGTGTATATGTGTGTGGAGAAATACGTTCCTTTTAACCCCCTCTCCCCCCTCCAGGGAGGAATATAAAATACGTTCGTAGTGTATACACTACATATTTCAAATAATTATTTAATGCGCAGTGAAGACTAGAGTAGAATTACTTCTGTAGAGGCAAAACCTTCTTTCAACTGTTCCAAATACACGTAAAGATCTGACCGACGAACAAGAACTTCAATATTGACGCATTGATACATTCAAATACACTTCAACGAAAATGTTTAAAATTTTGTAAATCAATGTCTGTAGCGAACTGCAATACTGCTTTCGAATGAATGTATTGTATATATTATCATATCATATATTGACCTATTTTCAACCACTGATGACTTGCCTAATGTAAAATGTAATGAATATGCATTATACAAAAATGTAAACATTATGTACCCATGCAATGAAAAACCTTGCTTTTAATATTATAAATTAGACCCTAATAACCTCGAGGGAATAAGATTTTACTTGGGAAACGTCGTAGGTCAGTAGAAATTGAAAATCGATGGATAGTTCCATACTCGTCAGTGTCCACACGAAAGTTACACGCTTAGTGTATTAATGTCGAACCTGGAGCATGCAATTAAACATATAAGCAAAGATGTTAACAAAGGTTCATATTTGACAGTGTCTGTTTTTCAAATTCAGAATGATGAGATTACTAGATATCATTGTGAAAGATACCTAAGAACACCAGAAGCAGTTTTGATAATTTTCACATACCCTATTCACGAGCCAGTTCCACTGGTAAGATATTAAGATGTGCATAGAAAAAATGGACAAAGAATGTACAACAACAACTAGGAGAAGGATGTAGAAAATAAACTTGAAAATCCACGGAATATCTATCACATGGGATTTTTCCTTCGAGTGAAATTAATTTGTTCACAAAAACATTATTTCATGAAGATGTTTTTGCTTATTACACTTTAAAGAGGCAAACTGGAATATTTTTACGCAGGCGACAAAGTATTCTTGATGATGCGTAATCTAGCATTGCTCGAGACCACATCCTCGGAAAAGTTTATTTACACCATTCACCCCTACAATCACGAGTGCTGGTCGTTGCATGTTGCTGCCTATGGCATAGATGAACCTATGCCTTTGAGAGTCTCAAAAGAGTTGGTGTTAACCATTAAACGAATCATACTGTATACTTAATCCTTAGTTTATTACAAAATGACAATCACTGGCATGGAACATTGTCAGAAGCCAGTGTGAGATGTAATACGTCTAAACGTCTAAATGTCTAATATGAATACACAATAATAATAAACAAGGTGGTAAAACCACACATTCAATGTTTAATGTATGTACCAAAAGCTGCTGATTGAATGGAACATCCCGGGTGCGGTATTTCAAAGCATCAAAAAGGTAAAATGCTTCAAGCCTGGGTTTTCATTGTACGAGACACGTTTACACGGCCCGTAATATCTCTATTGAAGCTGTGGATTGGACTGTACAAAATTTAAGAAACCTTAGTAGAACGTTCGGTTGGATTACAGATTTGGATTGCATAAAAACATCAGTGATATGGACATATGAAGACTGTAGAGTATAAAGAAGCTTTACATTAGGTTTCATTGTAATATTAATGTAAAAAAATGTTAAATAATTATTTTCA